TAAATCAGACATCCGGAAGAGGCATGACACGTGGAATTAGAACAATCTACACCTGTGCACAAAATAAATGGTTCGGTTCGAAATTTCAGTCACCCGAAGAAGGTCAGAGTGTACAACCTCCGAAACGTGGTTATGGCAATGAAGATGAGGATAATAGTCCGAATAATGCAAATAATGTAAGTAATCATAATACATCATCTCAGAGATATAGACAGCCATTATATCACTAGAAGCTAGTGACTGGATCTAACCAACGTCTTTATCCACTTGGCCATGTGTCCTTGTGAATATGGCAATGAAGATGAGGATAACAGTCCGAATAATGTAAATAATGCAAGTAATCATAATACCTCATCTCAGAGATATAGACAGCCATTATATCACTAGAAGCTAGTCACTGGATCTAACCAACGTCTTTATCCACTAGGCCATGTGTCCTTGTGAATATGACAATGAAGATGAGGATAACAGTCAAATAATGTAAATAATGTAAATAATCATAATACCTCATCTCAGAGATATAGACAGCCATTATATCACTAGAAGCTAGTCACTGGATCTAAGCAACGTCTTTATCTACTGGGCCGTGTGTCCTTGTGAATATGGCAATGAAGATGAGGATAACAGTCCGAATAATGTAAATAATGATAATACCTCATCTCAGAGATATAGACAGCCATTATATTACTAGAAGCTAGTCACTGGATGTAAGCAACGTCTTTATCTACTGGGCGATGTGTCCTTGTGAATATGGCAATAAAAGATGAGGATAACAGTCCGAATAATGTAAATAATGTAAATAATCATAATACCTCATCTCAGAGATATAGACAGCCATTATATCACTAGAAGCTAGTCACTGGATCTAAGCAACGTCTTTTATCTACTGGGCCATGTGTCCTTGTGAATATGGCAATGAAAGATGAGGATAACAGTCCGAATAATGTAAATAATGTAAAGTAATCATAATACCTCATCTCAGAGATATAGACAGCCATTATATCACTAGAAGCTAGTCACTGGATCTAAACCAACGTCTTTATCCACTAGGCCATGTGTCCTTGTGAATATGACAATGAAGATGAGGATAACAGTCAAATAATGTAAATAATGTAAATAATCATAATACCTCATCTCAGAGATATAGACAGCCATTATATCACTAGAAGCTAGTCACTGGATCTAAGCAACGTCTTTATCTACTGGGCCGTGTGTCCTTGTGAATATGGCAATGAAGATGAGGATAACAGTCCAAATAATAAATAAAATAATGATAATACCTCATCTCAGAGATATAGACAGCCATTATATTACTAGAAGCTAGTCACTGGATGTAAGCAACGTCTTTATCTACTGGGCGATGTGTCCTTGTGAATATGGCAATAAAGATGAGGATAACAGTCCGAATAATGTAAATAATGTAAATAATCATAATACCTCATCTCAGAGATATAGACAGCCATTATATCACTAGAAGCTAGTCACTGGATCTAAGCAACGTCTTTATCTACTGGGCGATGTGTCCTTGTGAATATGGCAATGAAGATGAGGATAACAGTCGAAATAATGTAAATAATGTAAATAATCATAATACCTCATCTCAGAGATATAGACAGCCATTATATCACTAGAAGCTAGTCACTGGATCTAAGCAACGTCTTTATCTACTGGGCGATGTGTCCTTGTGAATATGGCAATGAAGATGAGGATAACAGTCCAAATAATGTAAATAATGTAAATAATCATAATACCTCATCTCAGAGATATAGACAGACATTATATCACTAGAAGCTAGTCACTGGATCTAAGCAACGTCTTTATCTACTGGGCCGTGTGTCCTTGTGAATATGGCAATGAAGATGAGGATAACAGTCCAAATAATGTAAATAATGTAAATAATCATAATACCTCATCTCAGAGATATAGACAGACATTATATCACTAGAAGCTAGTCACTGGATCTAACCAACGTCTTTATCCACTGGGCCATGTGCCCTTGTGAATATGGCAATGAAGATGAGGATAACAGTCCAAATAATGTAAATAATCATAATACCTCATCTCAGAGATATAGACAGCCATTATATCACTAGAAGCTAGTCACTGGATCTAACCAACGTCTTTATCTACTTGGCCATGTGTCCTTGTGAATATGGCAATGAAGATGAGGATAACAGTCGAATAATGTAAATAATATAATAATAATCACAATATATTGTAAATAGTCACTGGATAAGCAAATCATCTCAGAGATATAGACAGACATTATATCACTAGAAGCTAGTCACTGGATCTAAGCAACGTCTTTATCTACTGGGCCGTGTGTCCTTGTGAATATGGCAATGAAGATGAGGATAACAGTCCAAATAATGTAAATAATGTAAATAATCATAATACCTCATCTCAGAGATATAGACAGCCATTATATCACTAGAAGCTAGTCACTGGATCTAACCAATGTCTTTATCCACTGGGCCATGTGTCCTTGTGAATATGGCAATGAAGATGAGGATAACAGTCCAAATATGTAAATAATGTAAATAATCATAATACCTCATCTCAGAGATATAGACAGCCATTATATCACTAGAAGCTAGTCACTGGATCTAAGCAACGTCTTTATCTACTGGGCCGTGTGTCCTTGTGAATATGGCAATGAAGATGAGGATAACAGTGCAAATAATGTAAATAATGTAAATAATCATAATACCTCATCTCAGAGATATAGACAGCCATTATACTATCACTAGAAGCTAGTCACTGGATCTAACCAACGTCTTTATTCACTGGGCCATGTGTGAAGATGAGGATAACAGTCCAAATATGAATATGGCAATGAAGATGAGCCATTATATTATAAGTCACTGGAGTCCAAATGTGGAATATGGCAATGAAATGTAACAGTAATCATAATATAATACCTCATCTCAGAGATATAGACAGCCATTATATCACTAGAAGCTAGTCACTGGATCTAACCAACGTCTTTATCTACTGGGCCATGTGTCCTTGTGAATATGGCAATGAAGATGAGTATAAGAGTCCAAATAAGGGAAATAATGTAAATAATCATAATACCTCATCTCAGAGATATAGACAGCCATTATATCACTAGAAGCTAGTCACTGGATCTAAGCAACGTCTTTATCTACTGGGCCATGTGTCCTTGTGAATATGGCAATGAAGATGAGGATAACAGTCCAAATAATGTAAATAATGTAAATAATCATAATACCTCATCTCAGAGATATAGACAGCCATTATATCACTAGAAGCTAGTCACTGGATCTAACCAACGTCTTTATCTACTGGGCCGTGTGTCCTTGTGAATATGGCAATGAAGATGAGGATAACAGTCCAAATAATGTAAATAATGTAAATAATCATAATACCTCATCTCAGAGATATAGACAGCCATTATATCACTAGAAGCTAGTCACTGGATCTAACCAAAGTCTTTATCCACTGGGCCGTGTGTCCTTGTGAATATGGCAATGAAGATGAGGATAACAGTCCAAATAATGTAAATAATGTAAATAATCATAATACCTCATCTCAGAGATATAGACAGCCATTATATCACTAGAAGCTAGTCACTGGATCTAAGCAACGTCTTTATCTACTGGGCCGTGTGTCCGTGTGAATATGGCAGTGAAGATGAGGATAACAGTCCGAATAATGTAAATAATGTAAATAATCATAATACCTCATCATACAGATATAGACAGCCATTATATTACTAGAAGCTAGTCACTGGATCTAACCAATGTCTTTATCCACTGGGCCGTGTGTCCTTGTGAATATGGCAATGAAGATGAGGATAATAGTCCGAATAATGTAAATAATGTAAGTAATCATAATACCTCATCTCAGAGATATAGACAGCCATTATATCACTAGAAGCTAGTCACTGGATCTAACCAACGTCTTTATTCACTGGGCCATGTGTCCTTGTGAATATGGCAATGAAGATGAGGATAACAGTCCGAATAATGTAAATAATGTAAGTAATCATAATACCTCATCTCAGGGATATAGACAGATATTGAACAGATATAGACAGGTAGTATGACGTTTATGTATGGTATTGTCCGCGTAATTTAGTTCCGTCAGTGTTCAGTGTCTATGACGTTTTTATTCAATTGTGAAAACAAAAAATTAGAAGAGATAGAATAAAGCTGTTTAGAAAGCATGTTTTACTAGATCCATCACGGTTTAGTAATGAGTTGTGCCACTTTCAAGCTACACTTAGAAAATCATTTAAGAGAGCCAGCAAAACCTCTGGGTTTGACAGTATTCAACTTGTCAAACTCTTTACCTTTGGGCAGGAAGGAACCCAGACAACGCTATACTACTACTACTGTACTGATGCGGCATTCACCCTGGGCGGATTGAGCCGGCTTCTTCCTGTTATGAGAAGAAGATTCTTGGGATAAATTACAGAGAAGTAGGGTACCCAGGCCTACTCGGATAACGTTCTTTATTGCCGCGGGGTTCCTTGTGAATACAGACGCAGAGGACATGAACGACCTGAAGCCGCCGGTTACCGATGCAGACGCTCAGAGATATTGGATTTTCACCAGAGCCCTTGTTAGCCGGCGTGTGTCAGACCTGTCTGTGAATATTGGGTGGTCCTGTAAAATAAGGAACGAACCGGGCGGCATAGCTCTGACACTACCGTTTACACCCCCCTTTACCCATGGCCGAGCAATAAAAACACAAATTTTAACACAAGAAAGAAAAAAGTAAATAAAGATTATCGGCGGTTTAATTGGTCGCCGAACTTTCATTTTGTCTGCATGTGTATCATGCTTGGAAAATAAAATTAAAAAGACAATAATAATCAACTTTTTGGCAAAGATGAATAAACGTGTTCACAGTAAGACGTCAAAAGGACGCTTATTCCCATGACACAGCTATTATTTTAACGAACTTCACTCCCTCGGTAATGTTTATTGTTTTAAAAACTGATGATTAAAATTGTAATAAAACATAAACTAAGTCCCCCATCTAAGTACTGACCTGGCTCTACGATGCTTAACTTCGGTGATCGTACGAGAACCGGTGTCTCAGCGTGATATGACCGCAAGCCGGACGACGCTATGCCAAAGGGTAGTGTCTCGTCGTTTATACGGGATTTACGGGGAATTCTTGCTCGAACCTACGGGCTCGCAATGTGCCACGTTAAAAAACCGGCTTTGTGCGACATCCCGCCTTTGTGGGGAGGACCTTATTATTATAGGAGATACTTATTTACCATTTTATAAAGTTCGAATCTATTGGCAATTAGCCGAAGTTTTGCGAACCATTCAAATAAAGAGTATCATAAATAAATAGTGTAAATAAACAATCTAATAAATAAATCGTACATTATTTACATTATTCGGACTATTGTCCTCATCTCTGTCGCCATATTTATTACAACGTTTTGGCCGTTGTACGCTCCGGCCTTCTTCGAACTGAACCCTTTATTTAGCTCACTAGGGTAGACTGTTTTAGTTCCACGTGCAATGTTTAATGGATGTCAGTTATCAGTTATCTTTCCCCTATGAAAGTTCTCCACTTAGCCGGGTATTGAACTCACACTCTTTTGGATCCTGTCACTGGATCTAACTAACGCCTTTATCCACTATGCCATGTGTCCTCAACCCTAACCCTAACCCTAACCCTAACGTCAACTCAGAAATATAGGCCGATACTAAATAAATCGTGTTTATTAGTTTTTGTTGTCATAAAAAAAAGTATAAATTCACTTTCATCCATTGTTTATGTTTTATTACAATTTTAATCATCAGTTTTTAAAACAATAAACATTACCGAGGGAGTGAAGTTCGTTAAAATAATAGCTGTGTCATGGGAATAAGCGTCCTTTTGACGTCTTACTGTGAACACGTTTATTCATCTTTGCCAAAAAGTTGATTATTATTGTCTTTTTAATTTTATTTTCCAAGCATGATACACATGCAGACAAAATGAAAGTTCGGCGACCAATTAAACCGCCGATAATCTTTATTTACTTTTTTCTTTCTTGTGTTAAAATTTGTGTTTTTATTGCTCGGCCATGGGTAAAGGTTATCCAGACGCATATAAAGGTGTGAAAGTTGTTAAAATAATAGCAGTCTTAATGGAAAAACCATTCTTTTGACAAATCGTTTGTTTTTTTTTTTTTGTTATTTTTTGGCGGGACGAAGGTCTAAGTTTGTCTTCTCATGAATTCTACGATCAGCAAAATGATTAATATGGTTCCTAATTTCTTCCTCGACTTTTCCTTTGATTCTTTAAGAATTTTAATTATTGTAATAAGATTATTCATTACTAAAACATTAATGGTGGCTTAATTAATCAAAGAATTCGTGGCTATTCCTTCCTTTCGCAAGCTTGTCATAAAATTGGCGGGATTCTGTCTGCCATATTTACTTTCTAATTAAACTAGCATTAACTATAAAGATGGCAGCGTAAAAATACCATAAACGAAGCCGCATAAGCAATTCATGACTAGACTATTTACACACGAACTATTGTCCTCATCTTTGTTGTTGTTATCACAACGTTTCGGCCGTTGTGCTCTCTGACCCTCATCAAGTCCTTTACTAAAAATTGCTATACCGACAAATTTACGCGGTTTACGGCTAAACCACGCTGAAATACCGGTTTCCATACGATCACCGAAGTTAAGCAATGTCGAACCTGACCAAGATCTAGATGAGTGACGCTTTGAATATACCAGGTGCTGTGATCTTGTGGTGTGTGTGTGGGGGTGTGTGTGTAAATGGATAATGGATCGGAATTATGAAGCAGAGAACCGAGTTTCAATTCCAGTTGAGTTTGATATAGAGGAAAATATCCTGGAGAAAGGTATAAACTACCTCTTCTCCCCCAGCAATGGATTAATTAGTAAGACCTGTATCACTAAATCATTAGTATCTCAGTAAAATATTTTTCTGGCTTTAAATAACCTGCAAAGTCATAAGTCATAGGAAACGAATCAATCAATTGATTAGCTAGATAGGCATGTCTTAGATTTATTTACATTTTCTGGAATATAAATGTAGTGATTTTCCAAGCATAGCTTAGATGTGGCACAAGGCCGAAATTAGGGGGCACCCAGTGAGAATCGAACTCACTACTCAGTCGTAATTGTTCTAGCGAGACAAGCTTGCTAACAATTACACCACCACGAGGTGCCCCTGGAATATAAATGTATAGAGACTACCGAGCTCATAAAGTGAGGGATCAGTTTATATATTGATTGTAATATAGAATTGATACCTCACTTTATAGCCATATTATAATTTGTTGGCATGTCTTTTAGGTTTATTTACATTCTCTGGAATATAAATCTATAGAAACTATGGTGGCCATAAAGTGAGGGATCAGCTTATATATTGAATGTAATATAGAAATCCCATTTATGACTGCTTGTCTGTTTATCAAATTGTGACTAGGTATGAAACCCCTCTTCTTCCCCCATCTATGGGTTAATTAGTAAGACTTGTATCACTAAATCAATATTATCTCAAAAAATTCTTACAATCTAAAAATATTTTCCTGCTTTAAATCTGCAAAGGGTCGATAAACCTTAGAAAACGAATTAATCAATCAATGAAATATTGATTAGCTACACAGGCATGTCTTTTAGATTCATTTACACTCTCTGGAATATAAATCTATAGAAACTATGGTGGCCAAAAGGTGAGGGGTCAGTTTATTTATTGATTGTAACACAGAATTGATCCGCCACTTTGTATCCACATTATAATTTCTTGTCGGCATCTTTTAGATTTATTTATATTCTCTGGAATATAAATATATGGAAACTACCGTGGTCAAAAAGTGAGGGATCAGTTTATTTATTGATTTTAATATAGAATTGATCCTCCACTTTATATCCACGTTATAATTTCTTGTAGGCATGTCTTTTAGATTTATTTTTATTCTCTGGAATATAAATGTATAGAAACTACCGTGACCACAAAGTGAGGGATCAGTTTTTATATTGATCGTAATATAGAATTGATCCCCCAAGTTATATCCACATTATAACTTCTTGCTAGTTTACCAAATTCTGATTCTTCCTCTTCTTCCCCCCCCCTGCTGTGGGTTAATAAGTATCATTAAATCATTATTATCTGCCTACAAAAATCGGTCTAAAAATATTTTCTGGCTTTAAATAACCTGCAAAGAGATGATAAGCCATAGAAAACGATTCAATCAATAATAAAAAAAAATATCCAAAACCAATGATTTAATCCTCCAGGCTATTGTCCGACGCGAGTGATATAGCGATCGTGAGTTCAATCGCTGGGCCAGTCAGTGTGTAGTACGGACAATAGAAACAGGGCAGCTCTAAAAATAAGAACGAAACTAGATATTCCGAGATATGGACTCAGTAGATAAGGCACAGTGCACGTGTGTCCGTCTGTCCGTCTGTCCGTCCGTTTTTCCATCTCGACGAATCATAAACAATCTGAAGTAAAAGGTAAAAGCTACTGTAGTTAAACACGATTAAAAATTAAAGAAATACCTAATTTACAGTTAAATTTATATAACGAACAGAGTGGAAGGTTTAAAATACAATTCTTTACTAAAGGTTTAAATTTAATTTCGTTTTTCGTCGCAACTGCAACTGATATCGTCTAATTAAACTAATTAAAACTTAAGCAGGGCACGGTACGTTGCTCATATGCTTTCTAGCACGCGTACTGTGACGTATTCGAAATATTATATAGTTTGGGTTCCCTAATATCTTTTAAGAGTGACTTTATGTGAAGAGATCATAAAGAATTGTGATTTTAAAAGAAAATAAAAATTGCGCGCAAAATAAATGTAAACAAATTACGGAGATCGGTTGCGTATACGAAGAAAGATTATGCCGAATTAAGGTGTTGACTAATGATAATTTTTTTTTTATTTCTAAAGTCTTATAACTTTTACGTACATAGGAGACTGAAGGTAAAATGTCAAAACCCTTAAATTTTAAACCTTCCGTCCAAAGGGCGGCTTCTAGGATAGAAACGAATAAAAGTCATATTGATTTTTTAAAAGTAAATACTGGTCGCTTCACTGCTAGTCTCCGTAAATATTTGAACTGATAATTTCTTCTTTAGATTATTAATATTCGGCCGATACGTTCTCCGACTTTCCAAGTGTTGATTGGTATTCTAGCCATCATCAAGTGTATATGTTTTATTGCCAACATTCATCATTGCTTTAATTACAATTTCCATGATAAAAAAATTGCGTCTTAGTGGCATTATTACCTTGCTTGGGATAAAATGATGAAAAAAAAAGAAAAAAGAAGACTCCTACAACACATGCTTGTTAAAAAAAGAGGGTAGACACCCGAAATATCCACCCAGACAGATTTCATCTGAACTTACCCCATCATTATAAAGGGTTTTACAAGCTGTGTAGTTGGCCCACCTGTCAGTGTTATTGGGGTACTCCGGCTGCCATCAAGTGTATATGTTTTATTGCCAACTTTCATCATTGTTTAATTACAATTTCCATGATAAAAATTGAGTTGCAACCGGAGGTTCTATTCTAAGAGTTTCTTCTTTCACATTGTTCGGCTGTGGAAAAATCTTTTCCGATTTCTTGCAACTTCAATTGCAGTAAACTGTTTTTTATTGTCTTTTCTCATCATTAAAAATCTTCATTCTATTTCAATCTCAGTAACCCCATTACGTCTTAACACATCTTCTGTCTTCCAGAAACCTTTTCTTTTATTGTCCTTTCTACTCACTAAAGTCTTCCCGTTCTCTTTCACTCCCAGTAACCACTTGCGTCTTAGTGGCATTATGCCCATCTTCTGTCTTCCTGAAACCTGTTCTTTTATTGTCTTTTCCCTTCATTACAGTCTTCTCGTTTTCTTTCACTCCCAGTAACCTCTTACGTCTTAGTGGCTTTATATCCATCTTCTGTCTTCCTGAATTCTATTCTTCTGTTGTCTTTTCTCCTCATTGAAGTCTTCTTATTCTTTTTCACTCCCAGCAACCGTCTGCGTCTTAGTGGCGTTATTTCCTTGCTTGGGATGAAATGATGAAAAAAAAAAAAAAAAGAATAAAAAAGAAGACGTCTCCTACAACAC